TCTTATTGGATAGATCTCTAGTTTATCCACAGTACAAATAATGCTGGCTTCTGGTTTTAAATAGATGATCATTTATCACATTAAAAAAAGTTTCGTTATTCCTATGTTTTATAGTGTTTTTTTTTAATAGGAACGGGTGTTATATTTTGTTAAAAGCCTTTTCTCAATATATTGATATAAACACCTAATATTTTTGTTATTAATATGGTCTATTATATTAATGTTTTTCCTTAATATTGAACTAACTTGCATTCCCTATATAAATGTAGCCTGGTCATAGTGTATTGTCTTTGATATGTTGCTATAGCCACTTTGCTGATATTTAAAATTTGTTTGTATCAGTATAATTTGTCATCAACATAGTCCCCAGAATTATAATTTAGTACTTGTGGAGTTTAAACTGTAATTCTTAATCCTAGTATTACAAAATACCTGTATATCTTCAGTGTCACAAAATGTCACAAAATAAAAGATATGTTAAAATAACACTTGCTATTCTTTACTCTTTCAATTTAATTTTTTTTATAACAACAAAAAAGGTCACTGATATTTATGAATGGTTGTAGAAACTAGATTAAGGGAAAAATGAAGTTGGAGGTAGCAGGTCTTGGGTATAAGAGTGAATACTTTCCTCTCATATTCTAGCCAGTGGCAAGAAAAAAAACTAACCCCTTACCTAAAGAGAAATATTTTACTCTCATCCCCATGCTACTGATAATTGTGGCCCATGGCTATGAACTAAACCATTGTTTTGGACTATATTACCAATGAGAATTAGACAGTAACAGCAATGCTGTAATGATGACCAGCTATGAAAAACCTGGTTGCTCTAATTAATGTAATGATCTAAGATTGTTCCAGAGAACTCGTGATGAAAATATTCTATCCATCTCTAGAGAGAGACTTATGAGGCAGCTAGGTGGTGCAATGGATAGAGTGCTGGGTCTGAAGTTGGGAAGACTCATCTTTCTGAATTCAAATCTGGTCTCTGACATTTGCTAGCTAACTCTTGGCAAGTCACTTAATCCTGTTTGCCTCAGTTTCCCCATTTGTAAAATGAGCTGGAGAAGGAAATGGCAGACCACTCCATTAACCATTCCAATGCCAAGAAAACCCCAAATGGAATCCTGAAGAGTTGGACACTACTGAAAATGACTGAAAAACAATATGATGAAAAAATTATGTCCACCTCCTGAGAACTTATGAACACTGAGTACAAATTGAAGCATAATTTTCTTGCTTATTTTTCTTGTTTTCTTGTTTTAATATGGCCAATATGTAAATATGTTTTGCATGATTTCACATGTGTAATTAATATCATATTGGTTGCCTTGTTTGTGGTTTTGGGCGGGGGTGAGAGGGAAGGAATTTGGAACTCAAAATTTAAAAAGAAAAGAATGCTAATAATAAATAAGTAATAAAATTGAAATATATTTTAAAAAGAGTGCCTTGTGCCTTGTGATATTACAAGGAAAAAAAACTAGACTGAAGAAAATGACAAGATCAAAAAACAAGTGAAGGTAACATGAGAGATAGCATGTGCATATATGTATGCATATAACAATATGGACAAAATTTTACTTGATGTTTACATCTTCAGTACAATTACACACTAATACCTCAAGTCCTGATATGCCATACATAAAACATATATGTTGATATTACCTGTTATACACATAATATATGACATAAATACTATAAAATTACCTGAAAAAAAAAACAACGGGCATATATCTACAGAATGGTGTGTTTCTGTGTGTGTATGTATGTATGTGTATGTTTTAAGGGTATTGTTTAGTTGAAAACATTTCTTCTTGAGACATAATTAATCTCTTAATATATAAGTAGGGGGTTGACTGCAAAGCAATTAAGAGTTCACCTTTATGTTCCCTTATCCAGCTGCTGCCAATCTGTCCATTTTATTCCCCCAGGTTTCCTCTAATTTTTTGTTTATTCAATTTGAACTTCTAGAATTAGTTTGGAAGAGGATTTTGGCTTTTATTGTGACTGAATTCACTTATAATATTCTTCTCATTTTTTCTAAAATTTGGCATTAGTTTTGAGTAGGGGGCTAACCTGTATGAAGACTTGAGTCCTAGTCTAATGCAACCTCTGCCAATTTTTGTTAAGCTTTGATATTTTCCTTGTTGGATTGTGAATTTTAATGCTACACTTTGCTATTTAGAGTCAAATTCCATTTTGTAATCAGCAAAGTCAAATGTGTGACAATAAGGTGTGGTCTCCTACAGAGAATGATTTATGAAAGTCTGTTTGTCTCCATCTCCTATTTTCATCAAGGAAGCCCTTGATATATATGTAGATCATTTTCATAAAGATGAGAAAGGAAAAAATAGGGATCAGTAGTTTGATATTCTTATAATTGCACTTAGGGAAAATGATATTATTTATGATTTTTCTATTCTTTTGGAATTTTTTTCTTCACAAAGATTGTCTTCTCCAACATGATTATCTTCATGTTCCACTTTGTTGCTTCTTGTATGCTATGTCAACTTAATGTATGGCATGTCAGGACTTGAGGTATTAGTAGTTGTACTGAAGATGTAAACATCAAGTAAAAGCATTTACAGATTTGGTCCATTTTTCTGTTTTCCTCCTGTCAGTTTAATCTACTAATCCTCGTAAAATAATATGGTTCGATTGGCTGCTACATCACTATTCTTGTCAAAGTTTGAGATCTTTCATGAATATGTTAAAGTTGTGCAAGATCTGATGATATATAATTACAGGTAAAACACTATTTAATGACTCCTGGCTTATTAATATCAAGTGGAAATAGACTAGAGAGACTTGCCATTGATATGGAGAATGTCTTCCTGTCCAGTTAAATGAGGGCTTCTTATTTATTTTTAATTTAAAAAAATATTAATTTATTTTTAGTTTTCAACATTTACTTCCATAAGATTTTGAGTTCCAAATTTTCTCCCCCTCCCTCCCTTCTCCCTACCCCAAGATGGCATGCAATCTGATATTGGCTCTACATATACATTCATATTAAACATATTTTCATATTAGTCATGTTGTAAAGAAGACTTAGAACCAATGGGAAGAAGAGGGGTTCTTTTTATATGATAAGGCTCTCTTTGCAGATGATACTGTGCTAATTGCAACCGTACCTAAAATATTATAGGACCTTTTAAAATGAGATTATAGGATCATGGTATTGTAGATTCCAAGGATTGCTCAAATTGTCTCCAATGGATAAAAAATGCTTTTGGTCCAGACCATGCCATGTAGATAGATGTCTAGCTCATTGAGTTAGTATATCAATGCGTACAACTTGGGTAGGCTCTGAAGATGGATGGTGAGTTTGACTCATACTCGAAAAGAAGTAAGAAAGTAAGCTGAATTGTATTTGGGAAATTGTGTAGTGCTTCTCACAATTACAGACTACTTCCTGATGTAACATAAATGTTGTCCTAGTGATGCCATATGGAACAAATCTTGGACCATTTTAATCTCCAGTAAATGAAAAATATCAAAGATTAAAAAGATGATGGAGAGAACCATGCTGGGCACAAATAGTCCATAGCCTATTTCCATTAATGTCCTACATGCAAGGGGTATCTTAAGGGATATTGTTGTAGAAATGTATTGGAAAAGGAAGGGTCCTGGTCTTATGGTTAGAATGAGATGGACAACCCAAGCGTTGCACTAAAAACTGCCTAATGTACAAAGACATAGAGGAAGACTTCTAGTTCTTTGGATCCTCAGTGGAGTATCCAAGTAGCCATGAGCCATTTTCAGAGGATGAGAAGGCATGGATGGCTTGTAATCTTGCACCATTGGAGGAAATTCTCACATCAGTGAGATCACTAAGGTACTGCTATATGAAAGTATATTGAAAGCTTTAGTTATTAGAGATTAGAAACTCAGCTAGGATTACACAGTATTTAGCAGAAAAAATAAATTGAAATCTAAATCTGATAATATTTGTTTCTTCTTCAGCTACTCCTTGATTCTTAGGCCAAAAAACTTCTGGGAAATAGGGGTGAATTGAAAATAATTAAAAGGTGGTGTTTATATTTCAGATTTCTTTTCATTTAAATTGAGAAAAGTTTGGGAATTTATGTGTTTTTGACCTAGAAAAAGAATGATAATGTACTTGATATAACAGTTTTCTTTTTTATTGATGTGCTGGGGAACTTCAGGGTCTATATTTTGTCTCTTTTTCCTGTTATCCCCTTTACTCATCTCGTCTCTGGCCCCAGGCAGATGAGAATGTAACCAAAAGAAAGAAGGACCTGGGTGTCAGCTTATCTGGTATAGATAAGCATGTGCTCTCTCCTTTTTCTGTGCCAGCAAGGAACAAGGATCCAGTTCCTACATTTGAAAATTTAAGCCTTTTTTTTGTCTGAATGAAATATATTCTGTGTAAGAAAGCCACTGCAGGAAGCACAGTTACTATTTGAAGCAGGAATTTTAAGTAGTGAGAGATAAGAAGTGACAGACATTATTCAGAAAAAAAATTTCTTTTCAAAAAAACATTTAGTAGTTGAAGTTGATATAGCACTTTCTTCACAATAACCTTGTGAGGTAGATAGTGTAAATATTATTCTCATAAATATTATTTATAGATAAGAATGTGGCTCAGAGAAGTGAGACTTGAACCTAGGTCTTCCAGCAGTGTGCAGTGATCTTTTCACTATATGTCATGCTGCTGTGTGTATGTATAAATCTAGAACATTCATGAGTACTGTATAATTCCAGTATTCAATATTATGTGGAGTCTTTTTTACAGGCTTTAAAATCTTTCAGACTTTAAGATCATAGTCCATAAAGAGAAAGTAGATTGGTTCCCTTTTGTGTTATCATGTATGTTTTTGTAGTGTTTTAGTGCTTGTATTTCTTATAAGAAGAAGGAATGGTTGGCAAAGATTTTAATGTCTTATGTGTAACAGGTATTGAATAAATGTATATTCTTTTGTCTTATGACATAATTCTCATTAATTTTTCTTATTAATGCCTTTTATTTTTTGTAGAAATATCAAGAAATTGCTGAAAAAAATGTGGAAAAGTCAGCCTTTATGGAAAAATCCAATGAACAGTTGATTCTTGAAAATTCACAGTGTAAAAATATGTTAGCTGAGACTCAAAAGGAACATACATCCCTACTGGCAGCATGTGCATTAATGTCTGGTGCTTTATATCCTTTATATAGTCGGTCATGTGCCTTGTCAACACAAAGAGACTTTCTCCAGGATCAGGTTAACACGTACGACGTGCTCAAACAGGAAATTAGAACTCTGGTTCAGGCTTTGTCTGATGTAGAAGAAAAGAAGCAAAATGAAGCCAAGTTGAAGAAAAAACATTTCAAAGGATTAATACGTGTATTCCGGAAAGGTGTTATTGTTGTTTTGGCAGCAAAAAGACTTCAGATTCTTGGCCAAAAGTGTGGCTCTCTTTTTACATGGATGGAGAGCTTCAAAGAAGGCATAGGAATCTTAGTATGTACAGGAGAACCCAAAGAGAACTATAATTTGCCAAGTAAGATAACTAGTCCTTTCCCTTATGTACTTTACCTGTAAGTAAAGTATAATCTATGAATATTCCTAACAATTATTTGAAAACTATTTGAAAAATACAAGAATAGAACAATATATGCATATGTACATGTTTACATATGTTAAAATAGACCTCAAATATTTCTTGTATATGAAGAGATAAAAATGTTGACTAAGTAGTATTTGTCCCTTTGTAGTATGTTAAACATTATTATTGTTTCTTTGATGAGCCTTGCTACATTTGAATTATGTTTTCATAGAAAGTGGAGTAATACACAATTTGCAAAATTCTTCTTCATTTATGGTAATTTTACATTTTACGAAGTAATTTCAGTGAATTAAGGAAATCCAGATAATTTTCCCTGTGTAAAATGTCATCTAGGCAATTTATGTATCAGTTTAATGTGTCCTTATTAAAGTAAAAACTACTTAAAAATCCAACTTGAATTTCCCAGCTAACAATGTATTTGAAAGCATTTTTAGAGGAAAAAATAAACACTACCCTCCCCCTAGTCCCTCAGCTTTTAAGAGACCTCTTACACAGCAACTTAAGTGCTAAGAACCTTTTTTTCTTTGTTCCCATCCACACCTTTTATGAGCTCATTTAATATTGAACACATAAATAGTATGTACCAACAGCATCTAAAATTTCTTGGAAGAACTTTACACACTTGGAAAAAGTTATGTCTAAAATAGCTGAATATCACAGTAATATTTAAGTATGAATTTTATCATATTAATGACATTTCACATTGGCTTTCTCTTTATGCCAGGACATCGAACAGAGCAGATGCGTTGTCTTCAAGCGGTTAGTTGGCTTACTAGTTCTGAACTTCTTGCTGCAGTAATCAGTTCTATGGCTGAGTTACAGGAAGTGGTTTGTAAAACAGGTAATATATTTTCATCTACTAGAAAAATCTTTTTTAAAGAAAATGACCAGAAATGCTTTACATTGCAAATTTCAATATCCTCTTTTAGTTACAAAATATTTAATGTGTTTGTCTTTCTCTAAATGCATAAGGATATGTGTTTACCAAGGCATGTGTAAATTAATTGATAAACTACAAAATACTAAGTTGTTACTTTTTATTGTTATGGGAAATTAAATATTACTTCAACTTGGTATTAGATAATTCAATTAAATGTCAATTCAACTCAAATTAAGTCAGTTTAATAATCTTATTGTGTTTTCCTACAATACTTGATTTTCCTGATGGAAAGGACAAAAAATTTTGTTTTAACTCTTATCAGCTTGCTTCTCATGTGTCCTTACATACATCTTGCAGTGTTTATTTCTGTTATTATTTCTTTTCCTGCATTTCTACTCATAGCTCTAATTTTTAGAAGACGATGAATTTATCACTTAACTAGCAATCAATTTTCTTTTAAATTTCAGCAATGTGTTTTTACATGCATTTATAGTTTAAGTAGAATCAAACTACATTGCTGCTCATTTTCACTGACAAATCAGCTTCAGTCAGCAGTTCTCAAAGTTGTTTGCAGTTGTGTCTATAAAACAAATTATTAATCTAAAATATATGGAGTAGATTCATTTTATTGATATGATTATTGATTTTTAATTATTTTAATTTCAGAGGTTTATAGGTTTTTCCATATTTGTCTTTGTCTTTTTTTGATATCTTTTCTTTATATTTTTTGTTTACCTCTAAAAAGTAATTTCTTTTCAATTTATGGTATTTGTAGATAAATATCATTAAAAAAACTTAATAAGAACATTGAATATGACATTTTTGATGATGATTTTCTCATTTGCATAATCAACTATCACATTGAATTTGCTTTTGCTTCTAATTTTTGGAGAAAGTTAGATTTATTACTTAGCAAATAAGAATTATTAAGAAATAGCAAATGGGTCCTTTTAAAAAGACTGTCATTCTATTATTGTCTTTCTCTATATGTATATGCTATACATATACATAGGTGATATATAGATTATATATATTATGAATATATAGTTGATATATTCACATTATGTTTCTATATTATGAATATATACACACCTATAAAGGCATTTCCAAAGTGATAGTTGTGAAATTGTTTTGACCAATGATATCCATGTAGTAAGTCTGTACTGTGTACCACATCTGATATTTTTAAGCAGCAAAGCTCATTTGAATGTATACATTTTGCTGTTCCTACTTAAAGATACAAGTTTTATTACTTTGTAACTCTTCCTTATATTAACCTTTATAGGGAATTTTTTACTTTAGCATGTGTTTCAAATGAGTATAGGCTACATGTATGAAAGGGCTAAAATTCTTTATTGTGCCAAGTGAGCTGGTTTTTAATACTTGACTTGGTACTAACTACTAGATTTTTTTTAGTATTTCAATTTGTGAGGTGGTGAAAAATGTTGATCACTTATACACCTTATGAAGGTGGTGCACTCTGCACAAAGTAAACACTAAATTTATTGGATTAAATTGAATTTTTACAGAATCATTGAATTATAAATTATTAAGTTGACTTCTTAAAGGAATTCATGCTATTTTAATGAAAAAAAGCCATAAAATAGTACATTTGAACTAATATGAAGGTAAATATATTCAAGCTTTTTTAATACCCTATTTTAGAGGTATGTGTGACATATAATTTGTGTGAAGTCAATTTCTGCACACCAGGTAGAACTATGTAGTACAACTGACTTTTATGTCAGATAGGCCAGTATTAGACTATAGCTGTGGTACTCCCAATAACAATATGATAGGAAGCTGATTATATTTATTATTGATTTTTTCCTCATAAAAGCTGTATGAGGTCTAGGGAAATGATATTTGTGATGCAATTTAACCTTGTTAGAGAAAAGTGTTGTATAAACACTAAACATTAATTATTATTATTGAAACTATAATTTTTTTTATTGGAAGGAGATTTGAACAGATTATTAAACTTCATATTTTTTCCTTAGAAACATATGTTGCTTTGTGGGGTTTTATACTCCCATTTTTAGAGGATAATACTGAAAGGAGGGTTTACCAGAGTCAATACATATGGATAGGGTCAGAATAAATTTAGATTGAATTGACTATTTTTCTTGAAATTAGAAGTCTAGACTCAGATACTCATAATGGGAAAAATATGAGAAATATTATTTTCAGGATAATTTTAATGATTAATAGTCACATTTATTGGGAAACTTCAGTATTTCAGACTAATAAAGTTGGAGGGGAATCAATTTGAATGAGAAGTTTCAAGAAAAATCACTTTTATTACTCAAATATGCATGGAGCAACTTCAAGGAAGCTAACCCACTATGGGCAATTAGTGATCCTTTAAGACTATAATGAATAGAAAAGGAGAGTCTACAATTAGTACATTGATTTTAAGTATAGGGATTGAAGACATTTTGTTCCTTTTTAAACTTAATTGGTAGGGTTTTTCCCCAATATGTCTTCAGCCTTGCTGAATTCATAGCATCTATTTGTTAATCCATATTTTATCAGTCAATAGTTACTCCTGATTTAATTACTAATTCCCCATATTGAAGTAATGGAAGTGGCAGATCTAGTATCTGAACACAGTTTTGTGACTCTAGATTCAGTACTCATTCTGCTAAGGGCTGTTCTATTTCATATCTGGCCCCATGTTTGCACTCATGTACTTTTCAACAGACAGTCAACAAGCATTTATTAAATGTTTACTATATACTATACACTATGCTAAGCAATGGGATACAAATAAAATCAGAAACATGATTCTACACTAAGTTCACATTCTGAGTGAGGCAACATCCAAAAAATTGCATATACGAGATATATACTGTGCAAATTGAAGATAACTTCAAAGGGTTATCTGGTAGCAAGGCTGTCAGTGGACTGGCAAAGCCATCCTTGGGAATTGATATTTGAGCCGAGTCTTGAAGGAAGCCAGCAGTTAAATGTGTGGAGGAAGACCAATCCTGGCATGGAGGACAGCCAGAGAAAAGTCACCAATTTGGAAGATGGAGGGTAATGCATGAGAAGCATAAAGAAATTAAATGGAGGGAAATAAAGTATAAGAAGATTGGAAATTTAGAGAGGAGACAGGTTGTGAAGGGCTTTAGAAGCCAAATACAGCATTTATATTTGATCCTGGATGTGATAAAGAGACACTGGAATTTACTGAGTTGGGTTTGAGGTGGGTGGGATGTGTATATGTATATATGTGTGTGACATGGTCAAACCTATACTTGGGGAAAATCATTTTCATAGTGAGTGGAGGATAGATTGGAATAGGAAGAGACTTGAAGCAGAAAGACCAAAGAGAAGACTTTTGTATTTAGTCTAAGCATAAGGTAATAAGGGCCGATATCAGGGTGGTGTCCGTGTGAGCATTAAGAAGTTAAGTAGAGAAGAAAAACATTATGAAGGTAGAAATAACAAGTTATGGTAGCAGATTGGACACGTGGGGTGGGTGTAAGTGAAGACTTGAGGATGATATGAAGATTATGAGGCTAGATGTCTAAAGAGGATGATTGTATCCTTCACAGTAATAGGAAAGATCTGAAGAGAAGAATGTTTTGGGGAAAAGGTAATGCTTTTTGTTTTATACAAATTGAATTTGTGTTCTCTATGGGATATCTAGTTTGAGATATCTAATGGGCAATTGATTAAGCTTTAATGGCTTCAACTGCAGTAACACTTTTGGGATACTCTGTGTATATCTGGGAATCATCTTAATAGATTTGATAATTGAACCTATCAGGATGATGAGATCTCCAGTATAGAGGAAGGAAGAGGGCACAGCAAAGAATCTTGGGGGATGATCACAATCAGCATGCGTGACCTGTATAAGAAAGTCAGACAAGAGAAGAATCAGGAAAGAATAATGTCAGAAAAATCCAGAAAGAAGAAAGTATCAAAGAGAAGATTTTGATCAAGAGTGTCAGTAATTGCATAGATGTTAAAAAAAGAATGAAAATAGAGAAAAAAACATTAGATTTGGCAGCTAGTAAACCATTTGTAACTTTGGACAGAGTACTTTCAGTCTAATGATGAGGTTAGAAATCAGATTTCAAAGGGTTTAGAGGGAGGTGGGGATGCCAGATTTTAATGTTTTTTTCAAGGAGTTTAGCCAAGAAATAGAATTGCGTCTTAGTTGATATAATCAGGTGACAGTTTTTTAAGAATCAGGGAATGGATATGTTTATTGGCAGCAGGGAAGCAGCCAATAGATAGAAAGATTAGGGATTAGAGAGTGGTGATGCGATGGAATGGGATGTGCATGTAGAGGGATTTGCTTTGGCAAGGAAGAGGAACCATCTCCTCATGTAGGGAGAAGTAAAAGAAGAGATAGTGAGGGAATACGTCTGAGTGATATGAGATGTAGAAGAGGGGAAGAAGCTCTTTGCAAATGTCCTGAATTATTTTGGTGAAGTACAAGGTCTGGTCCTCAGCTGAGTATGGTAGGTTGATGGAGTGTCATTGTAGTTTGGAAGAGGGATGAAAAGTTTTGGAATTGCTGATATGGTGAGTGGGATAATGAATCAACAGTGTAACAGGATTGTCTGGCTACAGTAAAGACCCAGTTAAGATTATATAACAAATTTGTAGTGAGCCTAGTCATTACTTTGTGATTTATTCTGCTTTCCTTCAGCAGCATTTGAGTAGTACAAAAGTAGTGTTTGAGTAGTAGAAAAGGTGGCAGATAATCAAAGCTTGGGCTTTGGCAATGCAAGATTTGCAGCAGGACAAGGAGTGTACTGGAGTGTAGAGCAGAGTATTGAGTTGATTGATTTCACCAAACGGTAGAGATCAGGAATGAATGAGAGTGTAGCCAGTGTAGATATGACTGTCTGGGAAATAACTGATGGGCAGAGGGGTTTGTAGTCAGAGAGAGAATGAAGATTAGATTTGTTATAAGGCTAAAAGATGGAATGATAAAAGATTGT